TCTTTTTCTGATGTACATCTGGCTACCTCTGCTCCACTTTGTTTACAATTCACATAAAATGTTTTTCCATGCTTTCAAATTCAGCCTTACATGTGCTTTTAAATCTAAAACAAAAAAATTTATAGAGCACATGCCAATGAATGCCTCAAAGTTAACAGGTAATTTAAAAAATTTGAGCATTCCATGTGTTTGAATTGTGAAATTCAGTCAATTTACAGTGTAAGTCTATCCAGAATGATTTTTGTTGGCATTTTTTAAATTGTTATATGTGTTTTGTGTAGTTTTCAATTCTTTCCCTTTCTCTTCTGTGTCATTTTTTTGCATTTAATGTATTTTTCCTGGATCGATTATTAGAACTGTGTTAAGTTAGGTTTAAAGCAAAGCCACTTCATGCTCCTCCCTGCCATAAAACGCACAAACATGGTCAGTCCTAGATTAAAATCCATGTACTGATGGAAAGAATGTGCAGTCTACAACGGTCAGATAAAAGGCTTTGTGCATATCTGTTAGGTCAATTTAGTTCCATTGTTTCTTTTTTGATTTTCTGTCACTTTGGTCTGCCCATTGGAGAAAGTACACTGTTTAATTCTCCCATTGCTATTGTTTTGGATGTCTATATCCTCAGATCCATTAACATTTGTTATAACCAGGTGCCCTAGTACTGGATGCATATTCATGTACTGCAGTCATATAATCATATGTTCCTGTTGAATTGATCCTTTAAACATTACCTAGATTCTTTCTTTGTCTATTTTAACATTTTTTGTGTTAAAGTTTATGTGATATTAAGAAATATCATGCAATTAAGCATTCTGTAAACATTTTGAAGTGTTCTTACACAATAAATGATCAATAAACCAAATTGGAAAATCATTTCTTTGAAATAGTTATTATAAATGTATAATTTTAGAAAATTATTGACACTGTCTTTGACACATATTCTACTGTTAAATAGTTGATTTACATTTCACTCTTTGCTCTATCAATAAACATTAAATTTATATGTGATGATTTTTTAAATTGCATATTCATTTTATTAGAGAGATGTTCATTTTTTTTTTATTCAGTGACAAGTACTTATATAAGAATATTATACCTTGGGACCAGTGCCATGGCCTAGTGGCTAGAGTCCTCACCTTGAACGCACTGGGATCCCATATGGGCTCCGATTCTAATCCCGACAGCTCCACTTCCCATCCAGCTCCCGGCTTGTGTCCTGGGAAAGCAGTTGAGGATGGCCCAAAGCTTTGGGACCCTGCACCTGCGTGGGAGACCTGCAAGAAGTTCCTGGTTCCCGGCTTCAGATTGGCACAGTACTGGCCGTTGCGCTCACTTGGGGAGTGAATCATCGGATGGAAGATCTTCCTTCTGTCTCTCCTCCTCTCTGTATATCTGACTTTGTAATAAGTAAATAAATCTTTAAAAAAATAGTATAACTTTAAAAACTATAGGACAGAAAACTATTTTTTTTTTTAACTTCTATTTCTTCAAGAGGCAGAAAAAAAGAGATCCCAACAGAGTATGCTTTCATTCCTTACTTCACGTCCCATATTATCACGATGACTGGGGTGGTACTTGGCTGCAGATAGGGATCTCCTGCATGGGTGACAGAAACCCTGTTTCTTGAAGCAAACTACTGACTCCCACTGTCTGCAGAATCAGTCTGCATCATAGCCGGAAGCTGAGGTCAGGATCTGGACCTGAATATTGAACTTAGGAACCTCAACGTGGGATATATCTGTCTTAGCCATAAGGTATTTTTATGTGCCAAAAAAATTTATACATACACATACACTCACACATTGTGCAGGTGGAAATGGTTAATCAATGCTTCATTTTATCATTTTTTTCTATTTCAGAAGTTTTTCTAACTGTAAATGGCATCTATACTTATCTTCATATAAGTATATGTTCTTTTTTTTATCTATTTTATTTTTCTCTTGTTTTTTTTTTTAAAGATTTATTTTTATTATTTTTTTATTGGAAAGGCGGATATACAGAGAGGAGAGACAGAGAGGAAGATCTTCCGTCCGATGATTCACTCCCCAAGTGAGCGCAACGGGCCGATACTATGCCGATCCAAAGCCAGGAGCCTCTTCTGGGTCCCCCACGCGGGTGCAGGTTCCCAAAGCCCTGGGCCGTCCTCAACTGCTTTCTCGGGCCACAGGCAGGGAGCTGGAAGGGAAGCGGGGCTGCCGGGATTAGAACTGACGCCCATATGGGATCCCGGGCGTGCTAGGCGAGGACCTTTAACCACTTGCGCCACCGCGCCGGGCCCTAAGTATATGTTCTTAATAATGTATTTTTTATTAATTATATTGCATTATGTGACACAGTTTCATACCCTCCCACCATACTGGATTCCTCCACCTTGTTGCAGTATTGTAGTTCAAATTCAGTCAAGATTCTTTCATTGCAAGCATACACGAAGCATAGAGTCCAGCATCTCATTGTCCAGATAAATTCATCGGTTTATTAGGGAGACCATCTCTGGTCTGAAGGTAGAGCTGGCAGAATATCATCCTGATCAACTAAAAGTCCCAAGAAAAATTTACAACATTATGGAATTAATTGACATGGTATTGAGTAATTAATATGTTAAAAAATGCAAGTTCTTAACTACATGCGGTGACTACTTCATTGACATTTCAATTTTAGTTTATATACAGCCAGCTTCTATATACCTTTAAATGGCAATAGGTTATTATTCAGCTGTCTTGTGTCTATTTTCATTATAGTATTTAATAATGTATTTAGTATTGGTAAAAGTAATGTTACTACTTCCTATTGTTACCTGAATCAACCCTTAACAGAGATATTCCAGGAAATGTAAACCTTTTCTAACCAAGTTCTTGCTTGACAATATTTTAGAAGCACTCTAAATATATGCATAAGGAACATATATCCAGAACAATTTCTCCAAAGAGAAAATAGTTCTAACACATCACTAATTCATACTATTGTTTAAGCTATTTTCTCTGTAGTACTGTAGCTTTATAAGAACTAATGCCCATCCAGCTATAGTGCATGTCTCTGCTTGAAGTTATCTAAGCATTATCCATTATCAGATACAGACTTGTTCCAAAACTGTGTGTTGTTGTATTACTCTAATGGACTGGGGCTTATCTTAATTAAGGGTAGGTCTGTAAACGATTTTTATAATCACTAATTTCCATTTAAACAGAGAGTCTAACTGCATGAATGCTGATGTTAATAGACAGTAGAAGAAAATACCTTTCTTATCAAGATTCCTTGTAACTGACCTAAAAAAAAGAGAATAGATTTTATTAGATTTGTAGGTATTCCTTAGCACATAATAGATGAGAAAAATTAACAGAACAGTATTTTCTGTTGTTTCTGTGTTTTTGCTTCATTTTTATTTGCATTTAAATTATTAATACTTAAACACGCTATTATGCTTTTTATTATTTGACATTAATATTTTTATCATTTGTTATATATTTACATGAGAAATATTTGAAAAAGCTTTTGAAAGATTTTTAGTTTTCTACTTTCTGAAATTATATGAGATGTGTTTCAAAAATTGATATAAACTGAAAGGAACAAAGTAGAAAATTAATTTTTTAAAAAAATTGTTTATTTATTTATTGTTAATAGCATTGTATTATGTGATACAGTTTTATAGGTGCTTGGATTTCCCCCACTCCTCCCACAACCCTCCCCCCATGGGGCAAAACCACAGTTCAAGTTCAGTTGAGATTCCTTCATTGCAAGCACACACCCAGCATTGAGTCCAGCATCTATTTGTCTTTTACTTCCCATGTTTAAGTTAAATTTTGTTGATAATCTAAATATTTTGTTGATTGATAGTTTCTTTTTTGATTTTTTAGTGAATAAGGGGTAATAACAGAAATTAATTTTTAGTATGCTTTAGTCTGAAGGTATACTTGCAGGTTTGGAATAATAACAACATAGTTTTTCATCAACATGTGATGGGATGGAGCAGGCATCATACTAAGTGCTTTGTTGGGCTTAGGCAGCACATTAGGGTTGAGAAACAGACTTCTGTTTTTGCCATTTTAAGCATAAAACTGTTTTAACACCATAGAGGTTATGTAATTTAGTTATGGTTGGCTAGTAAGTGGCAGAAAGAATTTTTTCAAATTATCTTTTTATTATTGTTTTATGAAACAGTTCCATAGGCTCTGGGATTTCCCATCCCCCTCCCCAAATTCCCTTCTTCCCCCAATGGCCCACTCCTCTAGTACTGCAATGGGTGGTCCTTCACCAACATATGTAGCATACGTAGCATATGTCCTTCACAAACAGTCATATGTCCATCATGCTACTATTGAAGTATTTCCCAACATTGTAGGCATGGACAGCTTTGGAGAGTCCAGCATCCACTATAAGGCTATTTTCAACTTTTTCACTGGGAGTTTGCCTTTGGTTTGGACGCATACTGACATACTGTACTTTGTCTCCACATCTGAATACTACACTTGTGTAATACATCCCCTTAAATACAGAGCCTCGCAGAATGTTTTTATTATTTTGTTTAGATATATCCACTTTGAAAGTCTGAATCTTAGAGAGAAGAGAGATAGAGAGGGTGAGATGGTGTCAGAAAGAGAGATAGCGAAAAGGAGAGAGTCTATCGGTTTTACTCCCCCAATGATCACAAGGGCCAGCACTGAACCAAGCAGAAGCCAGGATCTGAAGCATCTTCTGGATCTCCATTGTGAATGTTAGTAGCCCAAATGCTTGGCTGTCATCGTCTACTGGATCATAGTGAAGCAACCAGGACATAACTGGTGCTGACATGGGATGCTGGCATCACTCGCACCAGCTGTGCCAGCAAGGCCTCAAGGCTGGCCCCAGTGTTTTTATCTTATACCAATTTATTATCATCTATGCAACAAAATTCCTTAAGAAATAGTTATGAATAGAAAATAAAATATGTCAGCCTTTATAGATGTAATATCAAAACTAATTTCCTACTGAAGAAGATGTATGACATAATGAATTCTTGTTTTCAGTAATAGTGGAAAGCGGTGATGTAATTTCTTTCGTGGCTTTCATTAATTCCGGATATTGCAACATCTATAGAAGCATTATAGGACTTGTGAAACTACAAACAAACAAAGTGGTAAGCATAAATTTCTTAAGAACAATTGACGTTTCAGAGTGCTTAACATTCTGATTCAACACAGAAATGCAAGATAAAATCATAAGGTACTTCTTAAAGCATATCAGGTTGACTAAGATGAAAGTTACCATATGATCCAGCAGTTGCAGTCAAGATACTCAAAAGTAATGAAACATATATCTACACAAAATCAAAAAGCAGAAAAAAGAAGGCCTGTATGTTTCAGTATTACTAAGCATATATTTTTATCTGAACTTTGTTTTGTATCTGTCAAATTAATGGTTAAGAATATTACACTACCAAGGTTTGATGTTCTGTGAATATTTTACAATTTACAATTTACTGTTTCTGAGTGAAACAGAAATTTTCCATTTGATTCCTGCCCATGCCTGTATTTCCACTGAAGTAAAGTCTTTTTACTTTTCACCTGTTATTTGCTTTAATTACTAGAACATTAATGAAATATATGTAATCTCAAAAACTGAAAAAATATAAAGAAAGAATGAAAGACTAGAAGAGCAGAGGAGGGAAGGTAAGAGAGAAGGAGCAGCAGAGAAAAGGAAGGGGATAATTCTGTATTAGAATTATATCTCTGAACCCTATTGTGTTCATTATCTTTGCATTAATTTAGTACCATAAAAATAAATTATTAGAAAGGCATTTTAGATATTTATAAATGATGATGTAATAACACATGCAGGAAAATAGACGCATCTTAAATTTATCACATTGGATAAAATTGTTAAACTCATAATGTAACAATTTACTTTATATAATTCCATTTTTATAAAATCATGAAAACTTTATATAGTGATAGGAATATATATATATAGGAACATATATATATACATAGATATATATAACTAATATATAGTGATAGGAAAGTTAGAACTAATAGAATGAAAGTCACTGTGTTAAGTATCTCTATCTGCTACAGAAAAAAAGTCCAAAACTTGTTTATATGGGCAGACTGAAGGAGAAGGAGTCCTTTGGCGAGATTAGTGTTCTTCTTCAAGAGCCTTTCCCATGCACCATCATTACGGGAAAAGAGGTTGAGATGGCAATTATTGAAGATAAGGACATATTTGGTAAGTAGATATGTGACTTAACTATTCATCATCCTACTGGTTTAAATTTTTGAAAAGTTTGGAGTTATATTATAAGCAGTCACCTGTCACCATTAGTCGAATTTAACCGTGCTGTTTGAAAAACACAAAGCAATATTTTGAATGACTTTGATTTGATAACACTAAGATATCTCTGCTCATTCCCAAATCATTATTAATAGTAACACTCCCTGGCTATCTGGGACATCTTCTTACTTTTATCTCTAATGTTAGTATTACCTTTATGTTTTTGGTTCGGGTCAAATGCTAGCCTGAATGTACAGTCCCAAGTAAGTATATATGAAATTCTATGTCTTGGCAGTATTTAAGCATTTGTCTGAAATTTTATACTTGCAGCAATAATGTAATAATTGCTAGTCATATGTATGCATTTCTCACTTGAAAACGTCCAAGTTTTTACAAATTATACAAACTGATAAGAGGAAAATTGCACTGTGGATCCTTCTATGTAAATTTCACACTTTATGATTCAGAGTTCTCCAGAGAAATAGAACCAACAGAATATATGCAAATAAATAAATAATAAATTCATAATGGGAATTGACTCAAGTGATTCATACAGTCCCAGAACACACTTTTAACAAACTAGAGGACCAGCACAGCTGGTTCCATGAATCACTTCAATTGGAAGATCTGATCAAAGGGAAACTAATGGTGTGCTTGCCCAGTTTGGGGCTGACAATTTGCAAACATAGATTGAGGTTGGGAAGGGTGTTTATGTACATTCCAGAGTCTGAAGACCCATGGACTAGCAGTACAGATACAAAAGGTTAAGAGTATATGGCTGTTCCAGCTCAGTGACTGATTGATTTTTATTGCTGCTTTTGACATTCCTCAGCCTTGTCATTTTATGATTAGAAGTGGTTTGTTTACCTTACCATTGATGGGTTATGACTGAGTGACTTTGTCTGTTTGAACTCTGGCGAGGTCCAGATGGTTAGGCAATGTCACAACAAATGTGCTACTAGTGGTATCATAAATGAGAAGAAGTGATGACTTGATCAAAACTGAAAGAGGGGCAGGTGTTGTAACCTAATGGTTCTAAGGTGTGGATTTTGACTTGGAATGCTCAAATCCTATGTGACAGTGACTAGTCTGTCTTAATACCCTGTGACTTAAAAAATTTAACCTGAAGACAAAAATGATAAACCAGAAAAATAAACATGAATGACACTCAAACTATTGGATCTTGCTACCCAGGACTAATATTGACTGTATATTATATTAGCCTTAGGAACAACTGTTCAACTTTGATTCAATCTATTATGCCATAAATTCAAATAAATGAAGTCATCATTTTACAACAGACTCATCAACCATAGTGTTTAAATGACTTCATTGCTTTAATTTATCAAGTGAACTTAAAAAGTAAGTTTGTCAGATCTGTCATGGTAGCCTAGTGGCTAAAGTCCTTGCCTTACATGAGCTAGAATGACATATGAGCGCCAGCTGTGTCCCAGCTGCTCCACTTTCCATCCAGCTCCCTGCCTGGGAAAGCAGTGGACAGGAATCCAAAGTCTTGGAACCCTACACCTTCACAGGAGACCGGAGTAATCTCCTGGTTCCTGGCTTGCGATCGATCCATTCAACTCTGGCCATTGCAGCCACCTGAGGAGTGAACCAGTGTGTGGAAGATCTTTCTCCCTGTATCTCCTTCTCTCTGTATATCTTCTTTCTGAATAATAAAAATAAAAATCTTTAAAAAAAAATAAGTTCATCTTGGTGTGAAAACATATTGATACCCATATATCATTTTCATACCATTGATCTCCATAAAGTTTTGAGGATTGTTTGTATGAATTTCAAAATTGTTTTGCACCAAAATTTATCCTTAAATTCCATTTCAGTACATTTTCTGGATTATCCTCACATCCAACAGTTACTTTTGCAAACAGTTTTGTGGCACATACCGGTATTTTAGTCAACAACAGACCTCACAGAGATAGATCTTCATGTTCCTCAATAATGTTGCAGTGGTTTTATTCTATCAGGTTTGCCCTTGGCTGAATTGCATAAGTATATATTTCCAAAATGGCTGTTCAGAGCCAGGAACAAGGCACTTCCTCCTGGTCTGCTCCCTTGTGGGAAGCAAAGACCCAGGTATCTGGGCAATCATCCATGGTTTCCCATTCCAGCAGGGATCAGGAATGAAAGTGAGCAGCTGGAACCCAATGTACCACTTCTGGGGAAGACTTCCGAGTGGCTTCACTTTCTCCACTGCATCATTATGCTGGTCCCCAACTACAACTCTTATTCGTGAAATTTCATTCAGTCATCCATGACTGAAAAATATGAATTAATTGATAGATAATAACTTGTCTTTCCTCAAAGTAAAATTCCTGTTCCACACAGACATTGGTACAAATAAACTGAATTCTGTGCTTATTAGAAGTTAATAATAGATATAGTAGGTATTTCAGGCATATATATTCTTTTGTTTACTTCTTAAAACTTTATGTGAAGGAAGAATTTATTTATTATGTATGGATTTTAAAAGCATAGTCAATCATTTCACCTTACAAATTTTCCCTCCCCCATTCCTCTCCTCTTCTCTCTGATTACCTTTTCATTTTTACGGTGGCATATTTTGCAATTTACTTTATAGTCCCAGGCCTAAACTTCCATTATATAAAGAATTTAACAAGTAGTAAATAGAAAAACAACTGTTCCTCAGGGACATGGACAGGGACTACCAACAGTAATCAAACCTCAAAATATTACATATTTTTGTACTCTGCGTAATAGTTACCATCAATAAGCAAACCATATGATGATTATTCCTTAGGAGTTGGCTTATTTCATTTAGCATAATGTTGTCCGGTTTCATCTATTTTGTTGCAAGACAGGATTTCATTGTTTTTTAATGGATGAGTGGTATTCTACCTGGTATGTACACCACATTTCTTCATCCATTCATTAGCTGATTGACATCTGCGTTCATCCCATAACTTAGCTATTGTGAGTTGAACTGCTATAAACATGAGTGTGCGATGTGTTATTATCCAAAAGACCTTTTCGACACATTTTACTTAAGGGTGAGGATTTTTTATTATTATTTTTTTTTTCTTGCCAAATTTCTACTTAGCAGTGCTAACCAAAAGAATTTAAGCTTTTTAGTAATTTGCCAGAGGAAACATGCTCCCTTTGCATTTTTATTTCAGATTTTTCTTTGGCCTTACTGTAGAAATATTGATGTAAACATGTATTTGCAAGATAAAAATTAGAATGACACAAATTTTGAAATGACTAAAAGATTTTCTTTTCCCTATAGCTTCTCTTATTGATTATTAAGACATGCTAGGATAAAAAATCCAAGTTAACTTGAATGGTATTTTGTTTTCTTAGTAAAGCTTTGAATGAGTAGAAAAAAAAACTTGTAGCATATAACTGTTTCTCAGGTATTAGGTTCCATTGGGTATCTCATAAACATATGAAAAATTGTTTTGTGAATGAGAAACAGCTAAGCATGCTGAACATCTAAGTACCATTATAATGAAATTCTTACTTCAGGAACTTAACTGTATCTTATAAAATATCTTACATTACAATTTTATAAGTATGATTTTTTAATATATCAAGAAAATAGAAAATTAATCATAAATGTGTGGACTGAGACTATTTGATGACATACATATTTTGCAGTTTTTCCTTTGTAAGATGAAGTGTTTTTTTTTTTTTAGATAAATTGTTTGTCCCCCCAAATATTAGAATGTCAGGTTGTGGATTTTGGAATGTTAGAGCTGATTTTAACATTTTGTCAGGGGAAAAAAAGAGTTAATTTCTTCAACTTCATCAGTTTGTTCACTTACAAAAGTTCTTTCTATGCCCTTTGCAAACTCGATATGACGATTCTAAGATCACTAGTAAATCACAAATTTGCTATAAACTGCTATATATTTTCAATTGCAACCTTAATACATCTAGCCTGATAATAAGAAAATATCTAAATTAATATTTGACTATAAGTTTTTTGGGACTGATACATGCCTATGTTAGTCTTCTGTTGTTACGTAACAAATTGTCATAAATGTAGTGTCTTAAAACAGTACTTACCACACAGTTTGTGTGACAAATCATTGAGTGGACAATTTTCCATTGGGTTCTATTCTGAGGACTCAGCGGAAATGAAAACTGTTCTCCCGGTTTGGGAGAAGACTTCACTTTCAAATTCACTCAAGTTGTAAGCAGTTTCTTGCAGTGTGTCGAACTGATGTCCTGTTTTCTTAGTACTTGTCATGTAGGGGTCACTCTTGGACAACAAATGCTACTCCACCAACAAAATCTTCTTAGCCATGAAGAACCTCTTCCATTGGATCTGTTTCATATTTTAAATTTTTGACGACTTTCTTCTATAGTTGTTAAAATAAAAGTTGGCTTTTAAAGGACCTTTGTGATTAGTACAGCCTATGTAGAGCACCCCCTACTTTTATGTTAACTGCTTAGTATCCTTAATTAGCTCTACAAAATCACTCTGCTGTGTAATGTAACAATTACTAGAGCAATACCAAGGACCTAGTGGCTCCTTGGGAACCCTGATTCCTTACGGTTCCAATGCCACAGGCCAGTTGGTGAGGGCGTGTGGAATACACTTTATGATCTTGTCCTCCATTTTTCAGCTTTCCATGTGAGGTTTCCTTTCTTTTGCTAAGGAGTTTACAAGGATGTTAGAGAGAACTGATTGTCCATGCAGTAACAAAGGGAGTGAAAAATGCTCTCTTGACTATTACATTATAAATTGCCTTCTCATTTTATGCATTTAAGAATTGACTCAAGCTAAACCCTTCCAAGTGAAACACCTTCAAAGTGTTTTCAATATCTTTCATTATCATGTGGGGTCATTTTAACGATAATTCATTAATAGGTTAGTATGTTTTCCTTCCTATGCTTCTCAGAATAATTTTGTATTTTCTTCACTTAGGTAGTTCATTGTCACCTTATTGCTTGCCTAGTCTTACCCTGCT